AGGCATATAGACTGAAGAATAGCCCAGTATCAAGGCTTTAAAACTTTTAAAATTGAGAAATAGTAATGCTACTTTTTTCCTTTTTTAAATTTTTAAATTTATTGTAAACTTAAATATAAAACAAGGAAAAAAAAACATTGCCATGTACACAGCAGAACATAAGAGAGGATTCAGTATAAAGCAATAAATTTCTGTTTGAAGAAAACTATATAATAAATACTACACATTGTTTTCAAAGCTATCTTTTCTTTGCTTCCTTGAAGGTTTTCTTTTGTCCTCTACTGTATACTTTTTACTTTATTTTTTTCCCTTCCTCTGCCTCCCCCAGGCTACAATTAAGCATGTATACACACATACACATACATACATACATATATACACATATATACATACATATACATAGATATTCATACACATATACACTCAAATGCATATATGTAAAGTAATAGTATATTTTTATTAATTTGGGGGAGGGGGGGCAAAAAACATTCCTTTAGGCCAGCGGTTCTCAAACTTTTTGGTCTTAGGATCTCCTTACATTGTTAAAAATTATTGACAATCCCCCGCCCCTCAAGAATGTTTGTTCGTTTGAATTATATTTATTGATATTTACCATATTAGAAATTAAAATGTCAGTATTATTATAATAATTGTTTTAACCTCAAGGATCCCCAGAGAGGGCCTCGGAGACCCCCAGGGATCCCCAGACCACACTTTTAACAGCTGCCACTTTATGCAAACAGCCTCTTAATATTTGCCTGGTAACTAAATGCAAAAATGACATGTCAGTTGCTCTGTTTTCATTGTTTTCTATGCTTCCTCCACTGTTGGAAATTGAAATCATGGATGATTTCATCTTGTGTGATTCTTACCCATTTCTTTTCTTGAACAAACCATTTATGACAGGCTCAGAACTTTGGATGACTTTTTCCAGTTCTTTTAATATTTTATGAAAACTAAGGCAGCCCTGGGGTGTCCCTTAAGTCTTTCATTCTCACTAATGACTGACACCTCCTTTTTGGGTCATACCTGTCCTGAAGTACATTCTGTATGTGCTGCTACCTCCCAAGCACAAATCATTGTTGCCAATATGCTGTGGACCATAGACTCATCCACTTCACTTCAGGGTTCTATATTTAGAGCTGGAAAGGAATTTAGAAGCCATTTAGTCATATTCTCTCATTTTAAGATGAAGAATCTGAATCCCAGAGTGGAGAAGTCACTTGGTCAAAGCATGTGGCCATTATTAATTAAGCATTTATTAAGTGACTACTGTATACTAGGCTGTGATTTTTTTTTTTTTTAAAAGAATTCCTGCCACCTAGGAGTTTGCACAGAGGTGAGAATTGTAATGTGTTGTGTGGAACAGCAAGGGGGCCAGTTTATCTGGACCTTGGAATGTGTAAAAGGAAGTAATGAGTCCCAAGCCTTTATTTAGCTTGTGGAACTTCTCTCAAATATGAGCTTTTTTATTTCCTGATCCTCTTAGCTGAGAGTACTCCCTCCCTCCCTCCTTTTCAAATTTTCATGTGTAGATTTACCTGT